TTTTCTAAACAGATAATAAATGCATCAACAGATAATTTGACAACAATTTCATAAATGAGCGATTAATAAATCCAACTCCACCATTCCCTCTTATAATGAGCCAATTACATTATTTCAAACTGAATTCCATATTTCCATAACATTCCCAAATTAATTATATAAATTAATTCATACAACAATTTAGGGCTTTCTCCCCATTTTTCTATACAATGACCCAAAGGTCCCATATATCATTAACAACACCAATACCGTCATTTTAAGACCCAAGATACACATTTAGGAGTCAAAATAATCAAACCCCTCTTTATTCATTTTGAAACCCTAACACCCCAAATTACCCAACTTCGACATTACATCAAAATGACCAATAGTTTATGTCAAAGACCATAAAAACGAGTAGTTATCCCTACCTCAAATTCGGAGCTCAAAGGAGAAGATGACGAAATTTGAAAGTGCTCCAAACCCCAATATTTTTGGATCAAAATGTAGCCCTCAACAAGCTCCACACTTTTTACAAAGGCCCAAGGATAAAAGATCACTCCTACTAGATCAAACCCTAGAGAGAAGTTGGAGTTTTAGAGTGAGGTGCTCTCCAATGGAGGTTTTGAAAAAGTACGAGAGAGAAAGAAAATCAAAAAGTGATCCAAAATGTCACTTTTCGGACTGCTATAAAAGTCGTCCCGCTCGAGCATCAAACACAGACTCTCGCTCGAGCGTTAAAAGTGCCGCTCGAGCGCCGGATGCACACTTCCAGAAGTTTTGCAGACCAAGGTCCCCGCTCGAGCATCAGACTCCCCGCTCGAGCGGAGGAACAAAATCGAAAGGGCCCGCTCGAGCGTTTGACGACCTGCAGAGAAAATACTGGGAGAAGAATATTCACGCTCGAGCGGCAAAACGCCCGCTCGAGCGGATAAGCAACAACAAAGGGCCCGCTCGAGTGTCAAAAGCCCCGCTCGAGCGTGAAGGCCAAAATCTGGGCATCAACTTTTGGTTTCTAAACACAACCAACCTGTTCCACACCTGCCCAACACAACCCAAGACTCAAATACAAAGAGTAAAGGATGAAAATGAGAATAAGACAACAACATAACCACGGAACCAAGTTCGGAATACAATAAACAAAGGAAGGGAAAACCGGGATCGCTATAAGCCCCATGATGGAGCCTCCAGTACGGGTAACAGAGTGCAGACAGATTAAGTTCCATGAGGGAACCTCCGATACCGAGTAACAGCCAACACATAGCACATGATACTAAGGATGTCACGAATACATATCAGAAATTGGACAATCATTTATTGTACAGAACATAACATTTTAGAAAACAATTCTTATTTCATCATACAGAAAATAAATAAGGTTGAACATAGCTTTACTATGTTATTACTCACAGGTAGCCACAGAAGCAAATAAGACGGACTGGACATATCAGATAAATCAGGCAGACAATGGCGCGTGACCTACACAAGCACATAATATATACACATTGAAATATAATATTACTCCCTTGATCAAACTTGACTTTTCTAGTCTTTTTTCGTCTAAATAGTCCGAAGTTCTACTACGCTTATTCTTTCTCATTCAAATAAACCGGGTTCTTATTTCACACATTCTCTCATTCCTAAGCCCTTCTTTTCCAAATAGATTGATCTTTTACTTGGCTTCTTAAACAATTACCACTGGATCAATGATTCACTCTTTAACTAACTAATCTATGTTGATTGGTAGCTTATTAATCTTTATTGAGTCATAAATCATGTCTAGAATGCTTTGGAAAGAGATGAGAATAAAAATGGGAACTTAATGCAATTTTTCAAAATATGCTGAAAATGGGGTCTTCGCTCGAGCGCCACTTTGGTCGCTCGAGCGGACTGTAAAATTTGAAAACTTCTGGGAGCTCCATTTTCACGCTCGAGCGAGACTTTCCTCGCTCGAGCGGACAACATAAATTCTGAAAATTCCAGAATTGCAATTTAAATTCAATTTTGGTAATCAAAGCTCAAAACATGTATTTTTGGTACACAAAAATGGAGAACGATTGTATGATTTAGTAAACGCTTTCAATTAGAAAACATTCATTCAAAATCATGCTCCAATTGCCCAAATTTAGTTTCAATTCATCTCCTTTATATCAACCCACAATTTTAAAATATAAATTAGACTTCCCAACCTCTTGAAATTCCATGATGTATGAAATACAAATAGATCCAATTTTATTATTAATAACAAAATCAACTTAACTATGAATTACACAAATCGATTTCTTAGAAATTCAACTTGACTCAATTTTTAACCAAAAACTTAATTTATAATCATGGGTGTTCTAAAATGTATCTAAATTGAATAAAATTCTTAAATTACATCACATGCAAGGATTAAATAAAAATCTAATTATAAAATCAAAACTTTAGGATTAATTCCAAATTTTCATAAACTTGATTTTCTTAAAACATTTCCTTTGTCTCTTCAAAATATGAACTTGAATGGCTCAATTCCCTTAATAACTCATGTATCACAAGAAAATGCTACAAAATCAAATTAAAAACAATTAATTTTCCAAATTAATTTCCACAACTATGAGTCTACTTAATTTCTTACTTAAAACCTTATTTCTTACAAAATCCATGAAACTAATTTCATAGCTTTCTTAATTCGTGATGCATGTAACTCATTTTATGTTTAAAACCCAACTTCATCCTAATTCCATGAATTTAATCTCAAATCTCAAGTATTATAGGATGATTCTACAAAATCAAGCCAAAGATAATTAATTTCTAACTTAACTCTCATAAACTTGATTTTAGCTCCAATCCATCATTTTCTTATCAATTTCCTTCTAATCCCATAAAATTGATTTCTAACTTTTTTCTATCCCCTTAAATTATGAAATTGAAATTATAAAACTCTTGGAAAAGTATTTGCA